GGTTGGTTCTGAGGATGAAGCAGAGTGATTGGAATTTAATATTGTCTGATGTGTGGGTTCTTGAGAGGAGGAAGCGGTCACATTTTGCGGAAGAGATAGCGCTAATATATTATTGTTGGAAGAAGAGGCCTCATATGATGGAGTTAAATTTTCGGAAGGAGAGACCTGAAAAATTTTGTTGAAGAGATTGTACTGGAGCATTGTTATTGGCAGATGAAACAATATCTCCTGGACCATTCCTATAAGAAATAGATTCTAGAGGTTGAAGCAAACTAATATTGTGTGGAGTGGGGGAATATGGCATATTTTTTATTATAGGCATCAGACTTTTGTGTAGAAGTAACTGAAGGAAATATTGTTTCAATAAACCTCACATGCCGTGAAATATACAATCGATTTGATTATGAATCCCAGCATTTATAGGCAGACTATGAAGTAGAATATCCTAGGAACAAACACAGAATTGATTTGGATTGTAACTTAGTTTTCATATAGGGCCTCAACCATGGAAAACAAAGACACCTGTAGCATTTTAACCTGTAACACCCCGTGTTACGGCCTCCAACCCAATTAATTATTTAATCATTTACCCAAAAGAAAGAATTAAAATTCATTAATTAATTAGGAAGAGTCCACCATAAGCCCATGAACCCTTATCCCTAAAACCAATCCCTTAGTCCTATAGGAAATAGAATTAGTAAACCCATACCATTTAGACCCTAATTGGAACTCTTGGATATATAAATAGGGACATAGGAGGCACCTAGAACTCACACCACAATAACTTTCACCACACAAGAATTTCCAAGAATTCCCATAGGAGAAATCAAGAAAGAAGAAATCTTAAAGAAAGACCCTTCATAGCCAAGGAATTTAATTAAGGCTAAGAGGTAACCCATGTCTCAACAAAACCTATTTTCCTTGCTATAATCGTATTCTTTGGCTCCCTATTCTATACTGGTGTTGTAACACCCCGAAATTTTGAAACTTTTAATACTTATATAATAAAGGTAAATTCTCATTAAATCCCAAAATAGAGTATTTCTAAACATAAGGGTACGAGGTGCTATGCCACATCTGAGCTGGAGAGCTCAGATGCACAGGCTAAAGTAACTAACTATCCTCGATACATCATTGTGGCACGCAGGCCAAAAAGGAAAACTATCTATCTATTCCAAGCTCTTCTAGCGCGCTCCGGTGTCTATTCGTCTGTGCCTGAAAGCCAAATATATTTGTTCAGCGAGAGATGCTGGTAACCCACTCCAACGCGTTGAAATACATTATAGATAGATATATATAGATATACGAAAAATCATTTCGAAGCAGAAAGATATATACTTAGGAGACATTAATTTTAAAACCAGGAATAGACTCAGCAAATAGGGATAAGCGCATCGAACAACAATAAACAATTAAGTAGAGATAACATCATAAGGAATACACATCTAAGTTCGCAGAACACTTTTCAATTCCCAAAATACATCATCATTCAATCACCATTCATATCACATAATCGTTGATGGCGCCGCGTACCAATCGCATGCCCCGAACATGAGGGTTAATGCTTATAGCATTAACACGGCCCCGCAGCACCCTACCTCAGTACCGTAGTACGAGGGGAGTTGATCGCAACCAACCCTTTGAGAACCGCTGACGAACTCAACATCGGACCACGATCCAACACACCGCTAACGCACACAGTCGGTGGACCGCGATCCCCTTTACAAGGGGGGACTTACGACCCTACACACCGTTGATGCGTACAGTCGGTGGACCGTAGCGGATCAAGCCCGACACACCGCGGAGCTAAACTCAGTCGGTGGGCGAAGATCCTCGGAGACTACGACCCTACACACCGCTGTCCCATCACTCGGTGGATCGCAGCCAGCCGTAGCCCTACACACCGCCTGATTACTCAGGTCGGTGGACTACAGCCTTCCTCGGCTTATTGGCCCTACACACCGCCTGGCGCGTCCAGGTCGATGGGTCATATCACCGAGGCCCATGTGGACCTACATTCCTATATAATCTTTATATACCTGACCGATCTCTACTAGCCTGGTTAACAGTTTGGATGGTTCTCAACCCATTCAAATGCCCGTATAGTGGACCGCAGCCCTATATAATATTTATATACCTGACCGATCTTAACCACCCTGGTTAACAGTTAGGATGGTTCTCAGCCCATTCAACTGCCCGTATAGCCAACTTGATCGCAACCGAGTTGGGAATCATGCATCACATAACACACAATAGCACATAATAGCACATTGGGAAGGGGAGACATATAATTAAGCTTACGTGTGATCATTCACATACTAAGAATAGTCCTAAGGGGTTCATACGACTCCCACCTATGTCAACGGGTTACGGATTCAACTAGCATGAAATTCCTAAGACTCTCTTATCCTACGAACGGCACTCGAAACATCAAACTAGACTCAGGCATGACAAACAGGGTCCGTTGGGACACCACGGGGAATGGGGGAACATCAAACGGGGAAGCCAACGACCCAGGGTGGGTACGGACCAGCGGGTAGCCGGTGGTTGGAGGGTCACCCGCCGGCTGCCCGCCGGAGATCACTGCCTGGTAGCGGGTTGCCGGCGGGCGGACGCCTGCCCGCTGCCCGACGGTGATCTTTGGGCAGCGGGTAGGTGGCGGGTACCCCTACCCCCACCTACCCCCCACTGACTCCTTCATCACAAATTCGTCCCGGGATCCTTTGTGGAACCCGGAACCATGCTTAGACACTTTTAAACGCAATTAACGACACCACGTAGTCAATTAATGGGTTAAAAGCAAGAATCACGTATAACTTATCCTATCAAGACTTCTAAACATAAACAACACCTGAACAGGCGAATTCCCACCCAATATATATATACCCAGAACATTACAACACAAATTCCCAATCCATCCTAGGGCTCTAATCCCTCCTAAATTATCAAAATCACAATTTACCTTTAACATAAAAAAATATCAAGATTTGTCAAGAATCATTACATCAATATCAAGAACCTCTTTTCATTATCAAGATCATCAAGATTATCAAGAATACACATAAATCATCTTATCAATCATCAAGACTATATCACAAATAGCATAGAGGTATTAATCAAGACACAAGCATATAGAAGGAGGCCAAGGAAGGAGATTATAGCGAAGAAAATAGGTTTTGTTGAGACATGGGTTACCTCTTAGCCTTAATTAATTTCCTTGGCTATGAAGGGTCTTTCTTTAAGATTTCTCCTTTCTTGATTTCTCCTAAGGGAATTCTTGGAACTTCTTGTGTGGTGAGAGATTGTTTGTGGTGTGAGTTCTAGCTTCCTACATTATTTAATATCATGGACTGGAATCTCACAAAAGTTTCAGAATCTTCCCTGACCATAAGTGGAGTTATTTCCCCGACGAGATGATCCACCACGATTGTTTCGATAACTTACATTATGATCTAGAGATTGTCCTGTAGACATTGGTGATCTCCTAGTCGACGGGCCCTTAGGTGATTGCTTCTGAGTGGCATTTGCAGTGGCCAATAATAATTGTTGATCAGCAGAGTGTTTCATTGATTGTTCGTAATCTGTGAGAATGTCATGAAGCTCTGCGAAGGTGATGGGAGTTGTACGTACTCGAATAGCTGGAAGGATTGGATAAAAATCATCACCCAATTGAGTAATGACACTAATGACCAAATCTTCTTCACTGATGGGGCTTTGAGCTAAAGCAAGGTCATCTGCAATACTTTTCATATCTTGTAGAAAATCAACTATAGAGAGGGATCCCTTTGGGTTTCTAGCCAATTTGGCTTTTAGGGAGATTATACGCCCTTTGGATGCATTAGCGTAGCTAGAAACCAACCGAGACCATGCATTAGCAGCAGTGGTGGCAGAGGAAATAATAGGTTGCACTACAAGAAAAATCGCGAATCGCCTATCACCTCGTCGTATTTTGATAGACGACGGAATAATTCCGTCGCAACTTTTGGCGACGGACTTAGCGACGGAATATTTCCGTTGCCATTTGGCAACGGAAGTATTTCGTCGCGATTCCGTCACCCATTTCGCAACGGAACTGTTTCCGTCGCAAATCCGTCGTTATTTCTGAACCAAATATTCCGTCGTCATATTATCTTTTCCGTCGCCAATTCTATCACTCATTTCGCAACGAAAATGTTTCTCGTCGTAATTCCGTCCCATCATTTGCAACAAATATTTCGTCGCGATTCCGTCGCGTTTTTGAATTATTTTAAAATAAAATTGTGATTTTAAATAGTAATGAATGTTTTTAAAATATCTTATTTGCCTATATCTCAATCATAGCAATTAAACACCTTAGGCTGGGAAAAAAACAACATAGAGACGACGACAATGCTTTATTATTTAAAATTTCAAAACTAAAATGAAAGGTTTAACAGGATGCATCATTAGTCTCTCTAACGGCTAACTACAGTAATCATGTACACATGATTTTCAAATACTTCTATATAATGATTCCACTGGGAATCAATGCATCCTTGATGATTGTGACGATTCCACTTTCAATGAAATATCCTTCAGTTTCCCTAGCTGCTTCTTGAACATTTTCACTATTAATGATCTGAAACAATCAAGAGTCAAGTTAGATGCTTCTTTATGTTACACGTGCACAGGAAGATTGAGCACACTAGTTCACTAGATTAATGGCCAAATTTTTAAAAGCAAAAAGAGGAGAAGAGCAGAAAACTATCTGATATCGAACCTTCACATCATTCTTGCCAATGATTGCTCTTTTGATGTGTGAATTCCTGCCAATTCCAATTGCAACACTTCCCTTTGCAGCCAGAAGCCTCCTGTCAACATCCGTTTGAAGCAAGAAACCAAAGGATGTGAAAATGGCTATAAATTGCTAAAGGAAGAAAGAAGCATAACAACAACAAAGAGTATGATATCCATTAGATCATGAACTAATAAAATATCGCATCCTGCCCAAAAGCCAATTTTAGCCCAACAGGAATGCAAATTCATTCGGTATCTACATGGATGATTACCTCATAGTAAACTGCTCCCATCAATAATGTATCTTCTATAATTGCTACCTCAGATATGCATGATCTAAGTCCAACCACAGAATGGTGAATTTTACAGTTCTGCACCAAACAACACACTTGTGAAGACATACCACATAGGTTTCATAGTACTGTGTAGAGTAAGGTTAGTCATGATGTACTGAAACAAAATCCAATAAAAACAAGTGAACTCTCAAATCAAAATAGTTTTAAGCCTCTCATAAAAAGTAGACACATCACACTATGATGTGCAAGGACACAAATTATGATGCTCTTTCTTTTCCTGGTGGGCAAACTAGACCAGTATAAGGTTGCACCAAACAAATTATAATATGTAAGGATTTACAACCAAAGTTCAATTCACTTACCTTGATTACACAACTTTCACCAATAACGCTATCTGTGACATCAACACCAAGCATTTTAGAAGGAGATAAATCTCGAGGTTGAGTGTAAATGGGAGTTGATCGGTCATAGAAGCTTCAAGAAGGCATTGAAGACTGTCAGTGCTTTAAATTAAAGCAGCACAATCAAGAAATTAGTCTACACACACAAGTACCTGGTCTTGGCGAAACCAAATCGTATATCAAGGATTTGGATTTGTTTGAGCAGCATCTAAAAACTCAACCGGTGCATTGAGCGTTCCGTCAACATAGCCAAGGAGACCAAGGCCGATGAGTGTAGAATGAACTTGACGGCGCCATATCGGAAAGTTGATGGCAGTAATCCGAATAGGAAAGTGAGTAGGGGCAGACAATTGAATGATATGAGTGGTTTTTGTGATGGCCATTGGAGTAAAAATAATTTTTTTTTTTTAAAATTTGGAGAACTCGTAGGAGTATGAAGAAGCTCTTGATACCATATAGAATGTGAAAGATAATGTGTATTCAAGCATAAACATGTACACATATATAAACTGTACAGGGAAGAGAAAATAACATAAAAGTCCTAGTCTAAAGGAGAATAAATATAACATAAATAAACTAAAACAATGCAGAGAATACTACTGCTTTACATCCCTCGTCATTCAAAAAAAAAGTTGTCAAATTTTCCAAATTTGTAACACATATGATGCATCCTCCCATGGATACCCAAGCCCCACTCATTTTATGACTTATTTAAGGAATGTATGTCACCTATAGGGCCCGAGTACGGGACCATGAGTCAAAGGATTTCTCCTTTTGAACCCAAGCTATGGAATACAATGTCGCCCTATTTTACGTTTTACAATCACGACACTTAAAATCTTGTCATTCTGTGACATCGATTTATAATTTAAATAGCCAATTTCCTTGACTATAAGCGTATCAGTCTACTTGATCTCTAAATGTATGAAAATGTAATTACACGAATCATATTATTGATAGTGGACTACTCATTTTGCGTTCTCGAGTTTTAGTAAATGTTTCTCATTTTAATTAGTTTCTATTCTCAAAGTGCAGTGTCTGCCATCCTTTAAACCTTTTGAAAGGTCTTAACTTGATTTTTGTTATTATTTTATTTGTCAATTCGAAAGTTAAGTTTATTATTCTTTTTTTTTTTGTACGACGGGTATAAAATAATTTTATATATAATATTTATAGAAAAGTAATAGGGAATATGCAGAATACAAACAAATTAGAAGAAGAGGAAAAACTGATATATTATATCTTGGCCCTAAACTTCAATACAAGCACGGTATATATAGTGCCATGAAGTCAGAAAACAAAGAGATGGAAAACAAATAGATGCATGGGAAAACAAAGAGATGGGAAAACAAAGAGACACAATGATTAATGTCTTCATGTAGAATACAAAGAAATAAGAAGAAGAGGAAACACTGATATATTATGTCTTGGCCCTAAACTTCAATACAAGCACTGTATATATAGTGCCATGAAGTGAGAAAACAAAGAGATGGAAAACAAATAGACACATGGGAAGACAAAGAGACACAAGATGATTAATGTCTTCAATATCTCAACATCCCCCCCTCAAGTTGGAGCATGCGAATATGAAATGCCCAACTTGTGAAGAAGAAATTCAAATTGCCTTTGCCCAAGAGCCTTTGGTAGGAATGTAGGAAGGGAAAATCAAACCATCTTTAATTGCATCTCGAACAAAATGACAACCCACTTCAATGTGTTTTGTTCGTTCATAAAAGACTGTATTCTTTGCAATATCACTACTACAAAAAAGGACTTTAACGTCGGATTTTTGACCCCATTTAACATCGGTTTTCGACCGACGTCTAGGTAGCAGACGTCGTAAATAATGAGATACGGCGTCGGTTGAAAAAACCGACGTCGTATAATTTTAAAATTTTTAATATTAACATATGACGTCGGTTATTAAGAAATAACCGACGTCGTAAATTTTTCAAAATTATTTTTAATTAAGAAACGACGTCGGTTTTTCAAAAAAACCGACGTCGTATATTTAAAAAATCAAAATAAATAAACATAAGACGTCGGTTTATTTGAAAAAACCGACGTCTTATGTTAACTTTAAAAAAAAAAATAAAAGACGTCATTTTTTAAAATTTTTTTTTAATCCTGTATAGCTTTTACAATTCACACAAATTTTCTTAACCTGTCCAGCAATTTAATATTCCAAATCTCATAATTAATCAAAACTAATAAATCTTACAATTAATTCAAAAGCAACTCATATCATCAACTAAACAAGTTAAATTTATGGTAATTCTACAATTGATAATAATAATAATAATTTCAAACTTAAATTATCAACATCAACTAAACTTCAAGGATTGCTTTAAGCCATTCATCAATAAAAGACTTACACCATAACTTCATCAATCTCTTGTTGAGTGTAGGGCAAACATCCTTGTCTCTCGAACATGAATTTCATAATAACATAATAACCACATTCGATAGTTCCTCTTTGTATGGCACACTACAATTGAAGTAGAATATAATTACAAATTCTTTTTACTAAAAAACAATAAGATAAATATAGTTTTACAAAATATATGAAATACTTACCAAACATATACTCCATTTTAGGGAACGATTTGGTTTCTTTTCAATCAAGAAGCTTGCTGCATGGATACACCTATTAATATAAAACATATTCTCTATTTTCCTTTCTTGTGTTTCCTATTTCTCCATTTAGTAGGATACTCAATCCATCTGTGACCCAAGCTCTAACACACTTGTTCAAATTCATATGATATATTACTCCGTATGATGCTAGGTTACATTTAAAAAAAAAAAAAGATTAAAGCAAATTTGAAAAATAAAAATCACATAAGATAAAAGTTAGATAATAGTTGCCTAAAAAATCAAGTTTAGAAGTCAAACATGTAGAACATATTCTCGTTCCCAACATCAAACCTTACTATGCTCATTTTTTTGTTGCAAGAAGCAATTAAAGTGTAACAGACAAAAGACCTGAATGACAGTAAAGCAAGGCAACATTTAATCCAGAACCTATACAATTGCCAAATTATACTTCTAATGCAAATCAAAAGCAAACTGATTCACTATGGCATCAACAGATAGATGCGTAACTTAATATATAGGCTACCAAAGAAACAAAAAAAAAATAGGCAATTATCATTCCGGAGCTACAACTAATCAAATTAAGATTCAACAGAAGTCATACTGGAACAAACAGGGAAACTTAAGCTTTTCCGTTGCATTAATCTTTACCAACAAAAAAAAATAAAGAAATATGGAATGTCGTTGCAAGCTTGAATTGATCTGAATTAGATTCAATAGCTACCTCAGAACCACAGAAAAAAATAATGAATAGAGTAAAATGACACACCTTCATAAATTCCATCTATCACTCGGGCAATAGTATTGTACAATTCATTAGACATACCGCCCTGTATTTTAAGAGAAACAATATTACTCTTGGAACAACAATCACAAATACAACTTAATGAGGCAATTAATTAGTATTATAAAGATCTGGGGAAGCATTATCTGATTTAACATACAGTAAAATCTTTTTTTTTTTAAGAAACTACTGTAAATCATATATGAATTGTCAATTAAGATTGAAAATCATAAACACACAAAGATGATGATAAATAATTATACTCGTAAAGTATTATCAAATTGAGGAGCGTCTATGAAATACTCACAGTCCAACAGATCGAGGTCTGTATACATTGAATAATGTTATCAATTGTTCCACAGTAGTGTCACCAATTCTAAAAGCACTAGCTTGAATTCCTCCAACTGTAGTTGGACCAATAATAACCTGAAAGTGCAATAAGATGGGTTAAAAATCATACACTAAAAATGCACCAGCTGAAAAATACATTATTAGCCAAAAACCTCCATATACATCAAATAATTAACAACACCAATTGTTTATCACCACCATCAGCTATAAACATGGCAAAGAGTTCATCACCTCATCCTTAGCATCCTCATTGTCATCAAATTCATCATCATGATCAAAGAACATGCACGGTTGGAATTCAACAAATTGAATCAAAGTTTTCATGGTACATCAATAAAAGAGGTTAAAAACTGACGAAGATGCATGCTATCTAAAGGGTTGATGTATAATTTGAATGTATGCAATAATAGTGTGTAAACCTTTAACAAAACCAAGCATAGAGGCAAGGAATCATTGTAAATCAAAGAGTTTAAGCTGTTTGCTATGGGAAAGTGAAATGAAATTAAAAAGTGCAAGAACTTGTCCTCCACTGGTCTTCCCCCCTTGGTGCCATGCCATGAACTTCAAATAAAACATGCAGGCAGGGAGCAACAAAGAAACAAATACTAGCTAGTATAGGTGGTAATGGTGGACATGATCATATCTTGAATGAAAGATTCATAGCCCTTTATTTTCTGCCGCCTCATAATTCACTCATTCCCTGCAGATTTCTCTTGGCTAATTATAACCTGTTTTTTTCTCATTCTTCACAATATGTACAAAATATGATTCAATATGTACTCAATAACCCATAAAATTATAAATATATACACAACTATTTCTATAATTTCGAAATATAGACAATAATAATTTATAAAATTCAAAATATATATTCAAAACGATTTTATAAAAATAAATATACATTACCGTACCTGTGGCGGCTGGGCTGTTGACGACGTCCGACTGTTGCGGCGACGTGCGGCGAGCTGTGGCGGCGAGGCATAGACGTGCGGCGAGCTGTGGTGGCGAGGCGACGTCCGGCAAAGCTTTTGCGGAGAGGCAACGTTGGGCTGTTGCGGCTGCTGGCGTTCGTCGAGGGGGCTACGGCTGGGCCGACGAGAATGAGGTTTGTGATGGCAGTGTCGATCAAGGGCCGTAGCAGTAGCGACCGACGGCGGTGTGTGTTGAAGAAGGGTTGTGAGCGATTTAGTTTTTTTTTTTTTGGTTAGAAATTTTAGATTTATATGGTATTTAATATATATACGACGTCAGCAACAATATAGCCGATGTCGTAAATCTTAAATATTTATTTTTAAATTTTTTTTATTAAAGTTACGGCGTCGGTTTTACATAGAACCGACGCCGTAACTTCAATAAAAAAGTTTAAAATTAATTCGATAACTATACGACGTCGGCTCATTTACGAGCTAACGTCGTATAATTTTTAATTTCTTTTTATTTTTAAATATAAATGCAAAAAACGTCGGTTTTACTTAAAAACCGACGCCATATGTATTTATAAAAAAAATAAAAATTATTTTAAATTTTTAACGTCGGTTTTGTAAAGAACCGACGTTAAAAAGGCGACGTTGTAACCCATTTCTGTAGTAGTGTATGAAGAGCCGATTGACTGTCACAAAGCAATTTTATAGTTTTGGGATGATGAACCACCAGACTTAACAACAAGCCCTTTAACCATTTGAGTTCACAAGTAACGGCCACCATAGATATATATTCCGCTTCGGCGGAAGAACGAGAAACAGTATTTTGTTTCTTTGTTTTCCATGAGATTGGAGAATGACCAAGAAACACCAACCAACCAGTAAGAGATCGTCGAGTAGTAGGACATATGGTCCAATCCGAATCACACCATCCCTGTAGTGTTAGATCACTTTCTGCTCATAGGAGAATCCCTTGACCTGGGGTACCTTTTAAATAACGGACAACTCTTAGAGCTACCTCCCGTGCTCATCATGCGGTTCTTACATGAATTGAGGCAACACATGAACAGAGTATGCGAGGTCTGGTTGGGTTACAGCCAAGTAGATAAGTCTTCCAACAAGATGCCGATATGCTGCAGGATTAGAGAAAATTGGGCCACAAGCTAGGCCGAGTTTGTGGTTTTGCTCAATAGGAACACTAATAAACCGGTTTGGCCCTAAAAATCCTATTTCAAAAATAATATCAAACGTATATTTTCTTTGACACAAAAATAGTCCAGAAGAGCTACGAGCAACCTCAATACCAAAAAAGTACTTTAGAGAGCCGAGATCTTTCATATGAAAACAATCACTGAGATAAGCCTTAAACATCTTTAGAGCAGCAGAATCATTCCCAGAAATGATGAGATCATCGACATAAACATGTACATTTATCTGAATTCCACCCCGAGCAAAGGTGAACAAGGAGTAGTCGGAATAGGACTGTAAGAAATCATATCCTTTCAAGGACGTAACATGTTTTGCAAACCAGCACCTTGGTGCCTGTTGTAATCCATACAAGGACTTGCGCAATCGACATACTAATTTAGGATCGGATGCCTCAAAACCTGGCTGAAGCATGATACACACCTCTTCATTGAGATCACAGTGAAAAAAGCATTGTGCACGTCCATCTAATGTAATTCCCAATTTTTAGAGGCTGCAATGGCAAGAAGCGCATGAACAATAGTCATTTTGGCAACAGGAGCAAAAGTTTCAGTGTAACTGACGCCTTCTTTCTGATGATTACCAAGAGCCACTAATCTTGATTTGAGTCTTTCAACCGACCCATTTGAGTTATATTTGATTCGATACACCCAATGACTCTTAAGAGCACTTTTCCTAGGTGGGTGATGCTCAAGAGTCCAACTTTGATTGTCTTCCAAGGCTCGAATTTCATTTTTCAAAGATTCTTTCCAACCACTGTGTGTCATCGCCTCCTTAAAAGATTTTGGTTCCTTTTCAGAAATAATAGCTTCCAGAAAAGTTTTGTATGGCAAAGAAAAATTTTCACAAGAGGAACTTCTCTGGTTCCAAAAATCTAGAAAATCCTGGATTAAAGACGGAGACAAAAATACCCGCTTCTATCACCGTTCCACCATCATCCGACGAAGCAGTGGAAGAATTAGAGCCCTCAAAATCAATGGCGATTGGACTTCGGATGGTAACGTTCTTAAAGATCATGTTATACATTTCTTTTCTAACTTTTTTTGCAAGATTGATCAAGAGGGAACCTTTTTCCCAGCTCCTCACTGTGGTAATAAGCTCGACCCTTCCGAAACCAGAAACTTGGTCCGTCCGGCAGACATAGAGGAAGTCAGATCAGCTGTTTTTGGGATGAAGAGAATGGGAAGCCCGGGTCTTGACGGGATTCAAGCAGCCTTTTATCAAGACTTTTGGCAGGAGGTGTGTAAGCCTGTTACTAATCTGGTCAACAAGGCTCTTACCTTTGGCACGATCCCGGTCAGCTTGTTGAAGGTGTTTATCACACTGATTCCGAAAAAAGATAATCTCGAAAGTGCTGCGGACTTTCGTCCAATCACGTTGCTTAATGTCATTTTCAAAATTGTGTCTAAAGTCATTGTCAACAGAATGGCACCATCAATGGATAAGCTCATTGGGCCCCACCAAAACAGTTTCCTACTGGACAGGTCTATGCTTCACAATATCATTTTAGCTCAGGAAATCATTCACAGCATTAACAAGAAAAAAGGCAAAAAGAGCGCCTTAGTTATGAAGGTGGATCTCCACAAAGCTTACGATAGAATTGATTGGCGCTTCTTGGAAAAGGGTTCTAATGGACTTTGGGTTCCCGGCTTAGTTAATCCACTTTATTCTCTTCACCCTCAAAGAAAGCAAAATTGGGGTGCTTTGGAATGGAGAGAAGCTTCCTCCGTTCCAGCCAAGGAGAGGCCACAGACAGGGGGATCCTTTACCTCCCTACCTTTTAAATTTTGTCATGGAAAATGTAACACCCCAAATTTTTAAACTTTTAAAGCTTATATGATAAAGGTAATTCCTCATAAAATCTCAAACAGAGTATTACTAATTATAAGTGTACGGGGTGCTATGCCACACCTGAGCTGGAGAACTCAGATGCACAGGCTAAACTAACTAAATATCCTCAATACATCATTATGGCACACAGGCCGAAACGAAAGACTATCTAACTAATCCATGATCTTCTAGCACGCTCTGGATCTACTCCTCTGTGCCTGAAAGCCGAATATATCTGTTCAGCGAGAGATGCCGGTAACCCACTCCAACGCGTTGAAATACATTATAGATAGATATATATAGATATACGAAAATCATTTCGAAGCAGGAAGATATATACTTAAGAGACACTAGTGTGAAAACCAGGGATAGACTCAGCAAATAGGGATAAGCTCATCAACCAACAATAAACAGTTAAGTAGAGATAACATCATAAGGAATACACATCTAAGGTCACAGATCACTTTTCAATTTCAAAACACATCATCATCCATACACCATTCATATCATATAATCATTTATGGCGCCACGAGACCAATCGCATACCACGAACATGAGGGTTAATGCTTATAGCATTAACACGGCCCCGCAGCACCCTACCTCAGTACCGTAGTACGAGGGGAGTTGATCGCAACCAACCCTTTGAGAACCGCTGACGAACTCAACGTCGGACCACGATTCGACACACCGCTGATGCGCCCAGTCGGTAGACCGCGATCCCCGTTACAAGGGGGGACTTACGACCCTACACACCGTTGATGCGCACAATCGGTGGACCGTAGCGGATCAAGCTCGACACACCGCTGAGCTAAACTCAGTCGGTGGGCGAAGATCCTCGGAGACTACGACCCTACATACCGATGTCCCATCACTCGGTGGATCGCAGCCAGCCGTAGCCCTACACACCACCTGATTACTCAGGTCGGTGGACTACAGCCTTCCTCGGCTTGTTGGCCCTACACACCGCCTAGCGCGTCTAGGTCGGTTGGTCATATCACCGAGGCCCATGTTGTAACACCCCGTGTTACGATCCCTAAAATCAATTAAATCATTTAATCAATTACCCAAAAGAAAGAATTAAATCACAATAATTAATTAGGAAAGGCCCACCATAGTCCACGGGCCCTTATCCCTAAACCCAATCCTTAATTCCAAAAGAAATAGGATTAGCAAGCCTATAATATTAGTTCCTAACTAGGACTCCTAAATATATAAATAGGGGGCTTGAGAGGCACCTAGAAACGCCCCACCACAATAAACGTTCCACCACCCCAAAGAGCTCCAAGAATCCCCTTAGAAGAAATCAAGAAAGCAAGAAAGCTTAAAGAAAAGACCCTTCATAGCCAAGGAATTAACTAAGGCTAAGAG